CCAATTCCATTTCCTGAGAGCTATATCTTCATTTGCTTTTGTTGTTTTTGTTTCATGATGGAGTTTTTCAATTGTTTTTTTTCTTTGGGCATCTCGCTCTCAGGATTTTCTCGGACATCTATTCCGGAAGGCGTCAATCTTCTTTTTGTCTAGCTCCGTCGTGTTTTATGTCTCACTTCCATACATGAGAACTGACATGACCAAGCATTTAAATAACTTAATTACCGGTAACTTTTGTTTAAATAGAAAAAAAAATTTGATGTGCTCCAGATTTTCCTAAGCCTAGTAAATTGGTATTTGGCTTTTCCTCCAAGGTATGTAAATGTTTTTGCATCCTCAAATTCTTGTCCATCGATCTTTACTGGCCCTCATATAGCAGAGGTGAGTCTCTACACTTTGCAATAATTGTTGGATGTCCTGAAATATTGAGGAAAGTAGAGCAATCTTTAAAATCTACATGTATATCTGAAAGTTTTGTGATGAAATTCCTCCTTATTCCTTTGGTTTTCTTTCTGTATTTTTTCTAGTTGATTAAAGACGGGTATAAATGTTACCAACAATGCTAAAAAAATAACATTTTATCACTTCAAACGTTTACCCTGCCCTTTCCCCCCTTTCAGTATATAATTGTAACTTCAACATCAAACACATTTCTGATAACGGGTCAAGGCTCTAAACTTATATATTACTTATGTGGCAGGCATAATAGATAAATTTGCTGCACTGTCAGAATTTGAGGAAATCGTTAAATATTACAATTTTTAGGTCACCTTAGTCACTCAGTGACCTATTGCTATCCGTTTTTGTCTGTTGTCGTGCGTCGTCCGTCGTGCATTAACTTTTGAACATTTTCAACTTCTTCTCTAGAACCGCTCAACCAATTTCAACCAATTTTTGCATATAGCATCTTTGGGTGAAGGGGAACAAAAATTGTGAATTTCGTGGTCCCTGTCCCCCTGGGGCCCTAGGGGTGGGGCTAAAACCACCAAAATTGATGCAATCTTTAAAAATCTTCTTTACTCCTGGACATCAAGCAGTCAAACTGTTGGCATGATTGTAGTAAGCATTAAGCCCTCTACCTAAATTGTGAAATTCATGGCCCCAGGGTCAGGGGTTCTGGTGCTAGGGCGGGGCTATATAGATCATATAGTGAAAGTGCATTATTCCTTTGAAAATCTTCTTCTCTTCTGGGTATTATTTAAACAAACTAAGTGCATGGTTATTATAAGCAATGATGCCCTTTCCAAAATTGTGAAATTCATGGCCCCAGGTTCAGGGGTTCTGGTGTTAGGGCGGGCTCTATTGATTATATAGTAAAAATGCATTAATTCTTTGAAAATCTTCTTCTCTGCTCCTGGGTATTATTTAAACAAACTAAATGCATGCTTATGATGCACAAGGATGCTTTTTCCAAAATTGTGAAATTCATGGCCCCAGGGTTGGGGAGGGGGCTTTATTGATTATATATTGAAAAAGCATCAATTCTTTGAAAATCTTCTTTTTTGCTCCTGGTTATAGAGTAAACTAAGTCTGTAGTTATGATGAAAAAGAGTGCTTCTTCATGAATCATGGCCTCTAAGTCAGATGTTCTGGTGTAAGGGTGGGACTCTATTGATAATATACTGAAAATGCATTACTTCTGTTAAATAATCCTGTCTGCTCCTTAGCGATGAGCTGATAATTAAAGTGCATAGTTATAATGAACAATTGTGCTTCTTACAAAATTTTAAAACTTGTGGTCTTCAGGTTTTGGTGTTTCTCGGGGGGCTATATTTATTAATAAAGTGATAAAAATAAAAATGTGTTAATGCTTTGAAAATCTTCAACTAAGTGCATAGTTATGATGATGAGGGAACCTCTACCAAATTTATGAATTTCATGACCCTGGGACATGGGTTTTAGTGTTAAGGTAGGGATGTGCTGAATCTGTAGTGAAAATGCATTATTTCTTTAAAAATCTTCTCTGCTCCTTGGCATATCGAAGGCAAACAGAATTAAAATTCTAATAAGCAAGGATATTTTTACCAGATTTTTGAACATCAGGACCATTTGTCTAGGCATTCTGGTCCTAGTCAGGGCTCTATTAATTTGTATTCAACTGAGAGAAGTTATTCCCCTTTGCCATTCACCTTTGATAATTAATCACGGTAAATAATGTATTTGAAAGTTAATAGAATAAGAGAATAATGCAAAAAAAAAAAAAAAAAAAAAAAAAAAAAAAAAAAAATTATTGAACAATACAAAAAGTACTTTCATAGTTTTAATGATCAGGTAGACTTGTAAATGATAAATAAATAAAAATGAGACAAAATTAACTTATTAAATGTTCTTCAAAGACCAAGAGAGGCCAATGTGAGAGGTCACAATATGGGGTTAAAAGTAGTACAGAAGAACTAATACATGTAGTTTGTTAATAGTCTGCATGGTGATAGTGCTAAATGGGGGATAAATTAGAATTTAATGTATGAGTTGGTACTGAATACTAGACTAATTATTTCATTGATTCTGACCATCCTATTTCTCTTGCTTTTGGGCAACAAAGCTTCATCTATCAGTTTATTTTATATTCTATGGATCATCTAAATTGTTGTATTATACTCAGGTGACCGTTAAGGCCCTTGGGCCTCTTGTTAGAATATATAAATATTATTTAACAAACAGGAAATATATTTTTTTAAATAAGTGATGAAATATACAGTGTTTCCAAATCAGGAAGTCCCTTCATGTAAGTTATTTATCTTGCAACTTTAATGTTTTTTATCTACTTTTATTACATACATGGGTAAATTTCCCCAATAAATAAATAAATAAGGAATAATACAAGCTTTATTTTAAAAATGATGTATCGGTTTCAGGAAAGATGATGTACTGTTGCTACAGTATTGCATAGCCCTGCATATACAGTGTATTTTCGCTGCCAAGAATACATTTGGAAACATTTTGGGTCAAACAAACATTACGAATTCTAAAAACTTTCATTAAAAATGAAGATAGTGATGATGAAGTTCACTACTACATATACATGTAATTTTATGAAGTCGACACTTGCCTTCATGCTGTATTTTCATAGACCGTCTTAAGTTAAAAAAAAAATACATGAAAGATTTCTGAGATGCTCGTGATACATAATTAAACTGTAGACGATTCAATCGGTTTTATAAAAAATAAGGTATCTGTTTGACTTAATTTGATGTACATAAGGAAAATCCCGCCAATTACCGATAATGTCAGGAAACCGACATGTACACTGTATTGTCCACAGCAAAATTATATACAGGGCGGCAATAGTATGCACTAACTGATTTTTTAAAATAAGTTTTCTTGTGCTTCTTGGTTACACTAACTCTATCAAATATATTAATTATATGCGTTATATAAAAAAGTATAACATACATGCACGTATACACATGAAGACATGCTTGAAATAAAGTGAAATATACAATGACAATTCAATATGTTTTCCATCTTTGCTTTCCAGGCAACAATGGCTTCTAGGGAGGATTCTCGTTCCGAACGAAAGTTAACAGAATGTTTCAAAAAACTGGGACTGGACGCTAGAGCAGCAGAAAACGTCTTCCTGGAATTATGCACAGTTTTCGCCGGTCCTAAGAAATCAAGAGAGGTGAAGCAGGCCATCAAAGAGTTAAAGAAATGTGTTAATTCAGACAGTGGGGACGTGTTTAACAAACTTTCCTTCGCAATTAACTTTGCTTCCAAGATAGCTGCGATTCATCCCATACCTGCAACGCTTGGAACTACGTTTTCAGTATTGTCAAATTTGTTTTTACAAGTTGGAAACGCTATGAAAACGACTGTTCCGTCAGCAGATAAGGACAGTGCCTATGCTGCCATTGAGCGCTTTCAGGATTCAGAATTAAAAGCGGAGGCTGTGGGTTTAGAAGATTTGTTTTACAATACCAATGCCTATCTGAATAGTATTGAGGAAGATGCCCCCAAGAGTATAATTAACCATTTGGAGGATAAGTTTCCTACAAATGATGCTGTGAGGTTTCTTGGTAAATTAAGGGCGAAAACAGAAGAGCTCTTGTACTCGGATATTAAATCTGCTTACAGAGCAGCAGCGTACATAAATTTGTATTCTAGGCTTGCGATACTGCGATCACTGGTGTTATGGCAGTTGTTCTCCATCAAAAATCGCAGAGGTTATGATCAGTCTAGTGCTAAAGGCGTTCAGGCCATGATTACTGAAAGCGAGAAGTCTGACCTAGAGATAGTGAAGTTTGTTACAGAATCCAAATTCGAAAAAGCTGTGTTTTTAACCATATTCAACCCATCAGAAAATGAACATTTTCTACACCTCCTTCGAATAAAACAAATCCGGATTCCATGCATAGGTCAGGACAAATTGTTCTGTGCACATACTCACTTGATTCGGTCGTCCAATTGGCCTGATTGGAAAATGGAGATGTCATCAACATTTGGCGGGTCTATTCGTGGAACCAATAAAAAATCCGACGCCTGTGAATTTAATTTGGAGGTGGTAGAAAATCGAAATCTGGACAACATATTTTACATAAGATCGAAAAAGTGGCCCTCATATTATGTGTACGTAGATCGTAAGTTCGGGTGGTGCTGGTCTGTATCGGGACAACCTGGTCCTGAAGGTCAATGGAAGGTCATCAAGTTAGAGGGAACGAGTGGTATACCTCAATACCTTATGTCTCCCCTTCAGTGGCCATGCTATTTCATATTTATGAGTTCCACACCCGATGGAACCGTGAAGGGCACATATGATCTAAGAGACATTAAGGAAAAGGGATTGTGGGAAATTCTTGATATATAGTGAATATATAGTGTATTGTACAGAAATTAAAAAAAAAAAAATCTTCAAAAACTGGGAAATGTAGGGTTTTGAATGTTCAATGGTGTTTATTTTTTCTTTAATCGTATTCTCTTTTTTTTAAACATTTCATTTGTTGCAACATAGTTTTTCTCAGACAACTAAACAGTATGTAAATAGACAACTAAGTCAATGCATATTTACCTTTCCCTCTTATATTTGCAAGTATTTCAGAACCATTTTTCATCATACATCAAAATCATAGAAATGATTAATGTTACATGTAGCACTGTATAAAAGGAAGAGGAGAAAAGGGTAAAAGAACCAATTTTAGGTCCTTATCTGACATAAATAGTAAAGCATGATTTTGTTTTTAGTTAATAATCGTAAAACAATGAATGATGTCTAGATCATTTGTTCTTCAGAATACACAGAGGTCACAAGAAGGTTAATATTACAACTGTCTTCATTTCTCAAGAATTTCAATGATTGTTTGTTTTAGAAAACATAGAAAGTACATGAAGAATCTATGATTTTCGTATAAAATATGTATGATGTTCATTAAAATTGATGTAAATAATATCAGTTAAAAAATCAACAAAAATAAAAATGAATACATTCTTGGGCTTTGTTTGACCTTTTCCTATGCTATCACTCATTTAAACAAGTACATGGTTTTATCTGTGTTCTAAAGAGACTTATCCACAAGAAAGAGTCCAAAAAGCCCTTAATACGGTTTTTGAACCTTCATTATAGTAATACATGTAAACTATGTACATATCAGTGGATCAATGAAGGCATACACTGTACATCGAGAACATGCATGTCCATTACAAAACAGAATGTTTAATACATGTATACATTATAAACATGTCCATAATACACTTTAACAGACATTGTTGCCATATTTAGGATATCTTAACAATAGTGATTTATAATTTCTAGCACTAGAGTAAAAAGAATTCTTCACAATTCATAACCATAAAGTACATATGCTATATATATGTATCTGTCAACAATTGTTTGCTATACCACCCAGAACTGAAGAAATATATGAATATGCATTTTTCAATCAAAAAAGGGAGGGAAGATTTTACTCTAACATTATTAAATGACTGTAAGCACATGTAAAATGTATGTCAATAGACTCAGAGAATTATTTTTAAAATAAGTACTTCTCTTTATCATGTTCCTTGTCCTTAGAATTGATCAATTTGAAAAAGACTAAAAATGTTCTTTCAAACATCAGAGTATTATATATGGATATAATTATGTACATGTAAAATAAGAGAATCCAATACAGAACCAGCTGAGTATATTACATGTATACACCTCTACCAACCCCAATGACCAAAGTCTCTGTCTAAAACTTCTCTTTGTCCATGTTGAAATGTGGACTATTATTATGCAAAAATAGAGCATTGTTTTTTTTTTAAACATGGTTCACCTTAACATCTACATGGGTGTTTAAGAAATCTTGCTGATTGACAGAAAAGGTTGATTAATATCACTATAGTCTACTTCAGTCTGACATTTAATAATCTCGCCACTTGTTCCAGCTGACATTCTATTGAATACCATGGATATTACTCATGTTGTAGTGACTCTGAATTCCCAAACACTTTTTCAAAAATGTATTGTTATCTCAAAATCTTGAGTCCATGGATATGTTAAAGTTTTTTTTCCCTTGGCCCCATCAAGTTTGGGGTAATAAAGTTTGACTGTACATGTTATTTTAAAAATGTTCAAAAATAATCTGCTACATGTTAATTAACATACACAAATTATATGTATGTGTTCATACAAATAATGTGTATGTGCAAGATGACCAATCAAATGATAATTAAAGAAAATTGTCAATTTTTTCATTCGTGGTAAACTGGGCATCACAGCAGATGACGATCTATCTGAAAGCAGTTAATTGCTGATATGGTACTTCAGGGTTAATCAAAAGCCACAGCTGTTTTAAACTAATCACATGTCAGGGTGACTTAGATCCAATATTAGCTGATAGTTGTAAAATATTTTTAGCTTGCAAGACAGATGGCATGTCTATCATCTTTCCTCTGAATGTAAAAGCACCCTGAAAAAAAAACCCATTTTGAAGGCATTGTTAAAGATCACAAAAACATACATACAGAGTGTGTAATCTTTCATTATAACATAAAAATGATTATATTTACATTTTTCCTCAGAATTTACTGTATGTTGTTTAAAGAGCCTTTTTATTATGTAAGAATCCACATATTTTAATTTATACTTGTTTTTCTTTAAAAAAAACCCCCAAAAGTTACATGTGTGTGATCAAATTCTTTTCATTAAAACAATGCCAATGTGTGTTCAGTTTACTGTTTATTGATGAACAATGATAATTAAAACCCTTTTTTCTTCAACATCAGCTATTTCATTCTCTGCATTAAATATTTTTTCAACAAATTTCCAAGTTTTGCATCTCAATAATAAATCCTCCACCATTAGCTAGACTACATGTGATAGATCTTGTATTTTTCACAAAAGTACCGTATATACTCGCCTATAAGTCGGTTTTTTGGGAGTTGAACTTTGGTCTGAAACTCTTTATCCGACTTATACGCGAGTTATAAAAAGACTGTTATTTTAGTGGGTCAATCCTTCTAATTTAAGCTTAAAAAATTCAACCAACTTATATGCCGACCGACTTATAGGTGAGTATTTACGGTATAGATTCCTTTTTTATGTGAGTACTTAATATAACAAAATGGCTCTTGCACATCTACTTGCGAAAACAATGATTTGCCAGTGGATGGTTGGTCAAAAGCGTTTTGTGAATTCAAGCACCAGAAATATAAAAGTAATTTTATTTCACGAGTGCTGCTTCTCCCAAAATTATATGATGATTAATTCTTCGCAGATATTTAGGAATGTACAGTAGTATCTACCCTTACCTTTCCCGATTCTGTATGTTTACTGAATGCCTCCACAAGCTCTGTGGCCCATGCCACTTGATCTTCTGTAGGGGAGAAGGCTCTCTGGACAATGGGGACATGGGAGGGGTGAATGACCTGCTTTCCTGTGAAACCCATCCTTGCTCCTTCCAGGGATTGCTTCTCAATTCCTTCTAAGTCTGTTAATTTAAAGAAACTAAATATTATTATCATACCCGTTTTTTTTAAGTAAGAGAATCAGACTGTTTATCATATTTTATTATATTTAATCCTTCCATCCTATTTCAATCACCAAATCTTAAAGATCGACTGCCAAATTTGTCTTATGTAAATTTCATACTAAAACAATCATTTAAAATGGAAACAAACAAATTCAGAGAATTGTGGTCCCCCTCCCCCCTTTCTGGGTCATATTAATCAGGGTGCAATGATTTGACATATTGCATATTAATATGAAAGCCCTATCCCTTTAGTTGCTAAAGTTAGAGCCAATTTGAATTTTTTTTAAATATGTCAAAGTGAAACTTAAAGGCCTTGGGGCCAAAAATTACCATGGACTAATATGGGGATATGTCTTTCAGGTAAATCAATTGTAAAAATGTGAAAACCCTGTCTCTTTTACAGAAAGTAAGAAAAATTTGAAGGTCAAGGTCATAGGAATAAAAATTACCACTTAAAAGGGGGTTTCAAATTTTAAGGTAATGTACATTTTGGAACATGAAATCCCAATCTTCTATCATTTAGTTTAGAAGCTATTATCAATGCATATGTTAAAAGTTTAGAAAAGTAGATCAGACTTTAAGGTCAAGTGGCAAAATTTAGAATAAATTAAGAAAAGACCTGATACAGGCAATATACATGTACATATTGTACATCTGAAATATGAAAAGCCTATCTTTTCTCATTCAAAAGTTATTAACATAGGTACATATGCAGTTTTTGAAAAAAGTTGGTCAAACATCTAGGTAAAGGTGATAAGGTCAAACACTGCATTTTATTCGTAAAGGTCTTGTCACAGTTAATGATCATATGATATACAAAAGCCATATCTTTTCTCCTTTAATAATTATGACCAAGGCTAATGTGACAGACTGTCAGATGGACAGATGGAAGAATGAATTTTAAAAGCCCCTTGCATTTGCAAAAGTGGGGGACAATAAATTTCTCATTAAATTCTAAAAAAATTTATTCAAGAGCTCAAAAGGTGAGTAGACTCTGTCAGGTGAATTTTACTTTCCAAATGCATTTCATGTGAAAATCGGTCAAATGAAATTCTCATGAATGCACAGTGTGTAAAATCCTGCAACCTTAATTCTTGATGTATAACAGCTTATAAATGGAATTGTTGTGTAATGCATTATATAAAAACAGACCTTTTAAATCAATATGTACCATGTCAATGGCTTGTAGTTTGAAGGCCTTAGCACATGTGACTATTTTCTGCCTTGCATACAGTAATTCCTTAGCATCAGTTGTTCTTGTGGCTCCTGAAATATGAAATAAATACAAAATTTTAAAGACCAATTCATTAATATATAAATATCAAATTATACTTAAAATTGATATGTGTTTATGCATGTACCTTTTCTTAATTTACAGTCACAAAAATATAATCTGTTTGAATTTTTAGTGTAATTAAAGTAAATCAATTGTAATTGTAATGAAATCATTCTTGAATATTAATAACTAATGCTCCCACTGTGTCCCTGATACAGAGAGTGCCATGATTAAAAAAAACAGAACCCTTTCCAATGATGCCTGTTATGTTGCTTGGTCTTTCCAGTATATATCCTTTACATTGAACCCTTCCCTCCCACAAATGTTTGTTCACATTTAACTAAGTGGATGTAGGGTAGTCTTCCTTAATTTTGTAGAGGAGTGGAAATTTAATTAAGCTCCCATTCTTCTTTGAGTAATTTTTACTTGGAATAAGTTCGAAAAAATTCTTCTCAGATTTTGTCTCCTGATAGAATAAAACTCACCGATATATACACAGTAATCATCAGATCCGAACACAACACCGTCCAAAACTCACCAATATCTACGCAATAATCATCAGATCCAAACACAACACCGTCCAAAACTCACCAATACTCTACGCAATAATCATCAGATCCGAACACAACATCGTCCAAAACTCACCAATATCTACGCAATAATCATCAGATCCGAACACAACACCGTCCAAAACTCACCAATATCTACGCAATAATCATCAGATCTGAACACAACACCGTCCAAAACTCACCAATATCTACACAGTAATCATCAGATCCAAACACAATACCGTCCAAAACTTTCCAATATCTCCACAGTAATCATCAGGTCCAAACACAACACCGTCCAAAACTCACCAATATCTACGCAATAATCATCACATCCGAACACAATACCGTCCAAAACTCACCAATATCTACGCAATAATCATCAGATCCGAACACAACACCGTCCAAAACTTTCCAATATCTCCACAGTAATCATCAGATCCTAAAACAACACCGTCCAAAACTCACCAATATCTACACAGTAATCATCAGATCCGAACCCAACACAGTCCAAAACTCACCAATATCTCCATAGTAATCATCAGATCCTAACACAACACCGTCCAAAACTCACCAATATCTCCACAGTAATCATCAGATCCGAACACAACACCGTCCAAAACTCACCAATATCTACACAGTAATCATCAGATCCGAACACAACACCGTCCAAAACTCACCAATATCTACACAGTATTCATCAGATCCAAACACAACACCGTCCAAAACTCACCAATATCTGCACAGTAATCATCAGATCCGAACACAACACCGTCCAAAACTCACCAATATCTACACAGTAATCATCAGATCCGAACCCAACACAGTCCAAAACTCACCAATATCTCCATAGTAATCATCAGATCCAAACACAACACCATCCAAAACTCACCAATATCTGCACAGAAATCATCAGATCCGAACACAATACAATCCAAAACTCACCAATATCTGCACAGAAATCATCAGATCCGAACACAACACCGTCCAAGACTCACCAATATCTACACAGTAATCATCAGATCCAAACACAACACCGTCCAAAACTCACCAATATCTGCACAGTAATCAACAAATCCAAACAACACCGTCCAAAACTCACCAATATCTGCACAGTAATCATCGGATCCGAACACAACACCATCCAGTACGTACAGTTGTTCCTTCAGCTGGAGATCAACGGTCTTCTTAAATACGTCCCTCAGATTCATCAACCCCATGGCGCTCTCTACATACGTTATCAGGAAGGGGCGTGTCTGGAGTGACCTCCCTTGTAATGCTTCTTTCAGTCGCTTGGTGAACTGAAAAAATGAATGGATTTATCAGCAATGCTACATGTATGTTTATATCCCTGCCAAAGTTATTGTCCTAAATTAGAAATTGAATAGGAAGAATACTTTCCAGTCAGTAAAAAAAAAAAATTCTGTCTATGAAATAGCTATTCCTCTGAGAATTTATCACACTAGCTAAATCTTGTAAGAAAAAAAATTGGTCTCACAAGTTACATTTTATACTGCAACACAGAGATCAAAGAGGACATAACTCATCACAACACATGTCATCTCAAAATTGAGCATCTCACACCATTTTATTTAATATAATCAATTAAATCTTATAATTCAGGACAGTGTCAATGAAGACTGGACTTTTGGGTGTTACTGGCATACATGACCCTCACCAAATTATGACAGAAAATGCTTCATCAAATGTACTGCTCTACTTTGTAAATGCTCTGACTTTTCTGATGCTAACACTTTGATCTATCATCTGATGTGAAATGAACAGCATCCTTTAAGATTGCTTCTGTGTAACTCTAGTACATGTACACACATGCCACTGACTACTGGAAATTTAAAGTATTGATAAATTTGTACAAAACATTTAATATCTAAATATAAATCACATACTGAATACCAGTAGGAACTGTTAATGTAAGAATGATCTACATGTATGTAGGATAACCTACAATGTATTAATTTGTCCCAAAATTGTCAATTCACTCAATATCAACAGAAAACATTCAGAACCTTTGTACCATGTCAATGTCCTGGGGTCGCTCCACTTTGGGCAGCATTAGGGCATGGGGCATTCTCTTTGCCTTCAGTACTTCAACCAAGTCCCCCTCCATTAGTCCACTGGTGACTGAGTTCACACGCACAATACACTCAGTGCGGCCAAAGTCGTACTGGTCAAGGGCTTCTCTTATTGTGGAACGGGCTTCCTCCTAATTGTACAATAAAGCAAAAAGTGTATATATTCACAATTCTTAACAATAAAAAAATTTCACTGTTCCATGTTTTATACTATTATTAGTTGATTAGTCATAATGATGCATGAAGACTGGTTTATTATTTCCTATGAATAAAAAACTGAAATATTTATTAATTACATATTGTTATATTATATGACAATTTCTTTAAATACATTTTAAGATAAATGATCTATTGCAATTTTCTAAAATAAAATTTGGATAATCTCCATGGCATACCATTGTCATTCACAACAAACTGTCAGTGAGAAATAAAAAATAACAACTCTGGTTCACAGATATCAATGTCATTGTGTCATACTTTACTCTTTTATTATTTTACCTTTTTATTAGCTGCCACACCATCTTCACAATCCAGAACTGCACAGTCCAAATCAAGGGAGGTAACTTTCTGAATTTTTTTCTGATCATTGCCCGGGACATACATCACTGCCCTTCGGGGAGTGTAGGGCTTTGATTGTGAATTTGTTTGGCCTCCATACACTCTGGCAACTTTGGAAATGATAAACAAAATTAAGGTTTATAATCAATTAATATATATCATTATAAAGGTAAATAAATTTTATAAGTATTCTCTCCTCAAAACAAAACTTTGGAATTTAAATAATCATTAAGACTTATTGCCCTGAAAGTAACAATTCCTTACATGCCTGTGGGGCATGATCAGCACGATGGTGGATCATTTTTGGAATACAGCTAAGACATTTGGGTAAATTTAAAGTGAATCTCAAAAAAAAAAAGCCTTGGTCACTTCACATGTTAAAACCCCCTCATTATATAATGTAGGTATTAAAGCTTGTCATGAATATTTACTTTTTTTACATTGAATTTGGCTTCAGAGTTAGCACATTTTCATAAGCAAAGGGTTTTTTTAGGGGGAGCAACTGCAGAGTTGACTGAAAACCCTTGGCTTGTCAAGATTAGCTTGAAGATTAAAATGAAAGTGAGCTTATATCCACTAGCTAACCAGTGTCAACTTCTTTATATGGAGATAATCCAGTGAATAAATGGCCCTTAAAATACATTTCACATTTGATTAAAATGTCCTGGCCTATATGAATAATGCTGACTTTTATATACTGGTTATAAATCTAATACAAATCTCATACAGGAAAATGTTCCAAACTCTCACCTTGAGTCTGCCTTGTTCCTCTGATGTGTAGTAGACAATTCTGAATTCTACGGAGTGACTTCATGATACAGCTTGAACAGAGGCTCAATGGCTTAATATAGCCTGATAAAAAAAATATCTGATTTTATGTAAGAAAATTTTCTAGCAGTTCGCTTTATAGTAAGTTATGTTTACATAAAGTTTCCTAATTTTGTTTATAATATGACACTGTAGCAAAATTCACAAAATGTAAAATATGTACATTTTTCCACAAGATCATAATTTCACTGAATCAATTTCTGTTTAATCCGCATGTAGAAAATGATGTGGATTTCTCTCATTGCCAATGTATGTCTTCAACATACTTAAAGCACTCTGTGACAAATTTCTGCAGAAAAATTGTGATTTTGTACACAGTCTAAATCCCACACAGAAAAAGTATGCCTACACTAAGTGGTGTGTAACCTATTATACATGTAGGTCCTGGTATCATTTTAAATTTTCTACATTTAATAGTTTAGCTGAGGTAAGATACAGCAAGGCCATCAATTAAAAACTGTTTTTTTTGTTTTGTTTTTTTTTAAATCAGGTCTCTGAACAGTCTAGACGAACTCCAAAAACAGCGTTTCCGGAAGTAAGAAATTGAGACTGAAAAAGACTCCGAAAATAGAGTCCGCGCATGCGCACACGCACAAAAAAATGGCGATTTTTCGGCAAAAATGATGGGTCTACAAAAACTGTCTGTGCAAAGTTTTGGAAAGCATGGCAATTATGCCAGTACTCAGAAATGCTAAATAAAAGACTTCGGAAGAGATCGTATTTGTCAGAATTTTTATTTTATTTGCAAAAAAGGAGATATTTACTTTCAAAGTTGACGTTTGAAGTCAGGTCAATTACAGAGAAAATGATTCGTTTGAGAAGTAAATATGCATAATAAAAGGGATATATATGCAAAATGGGACAATATATATTGTAACTGTTAAAAACTTGACTGAATTTTACACATAAATTAGCATTCCGGTATTTTTATTTATGTACGACATCTGAATTGAACGCGTAAGTTCTTACCATCGTTATTTACCGATTTTTTATCACATACGAACAGATATTATTCTAAAAAACATTTTTAAAACTATTAGCTATCAATATGAAATCTTTAAAAACCACTCTTCTAGAAATTAAGGTCACAGCATGTCTTCTAAAAATGAACCTGTGAATATCTCTCCTCCGTGGTGAGAAATACGCATTTTCTAATTAAAATAAATACAAGCTGGGTGTCTTCAAAAACAAATAAAAGCACCTATATTTAGGAACAACATAAAATTAAATCAAGGAGACAATAAATCAAATAAGAAAATAATTCTTACCGGCAGTATTGAATTCGATGTCGTATATCCAATTTACTACTATGCAAGAATTTAAAGCAATAAATAAGTCAATATCCACAAAATAATTTAATAAATATAATTATCCATTCAACAAAAATTAAAATAAAGTCACAATGCACTAAATACAGCCATTATGCAGCCGTATATTTGGAGAAAGCGAACGACAATCCATCGTTTGTTTACATCGGACGCCATTTTGCCGCAATGCATGATGGAGCCAAAGACTTCGTTTTCGGAGTTCACGCCGTTTTTAGAGTTCGTCTAGACTGCTGAATACTGATTATTGATAAACATCAAATCAGAGACATACAATCATGTACATAACATGACAGGCATTGTTTTAACTTTTTACTCCCATTGTATACATCTCTGATCAAATGTATAACGTTATCCGCTGTAGGCATTACGATAAATAAAGGTATCCCTTCTTTACAACACTTTAGCTCAATTTTATTGACCATAAAATTTAGTATCCTCACAATCATGACAATGTCAGGGGTCCCGATAATCTCCATTCCACCCCCCCCCCCCCCAAAAAAAAAAAGAATAAAAGTGGGGGGATAGAGTGAGAAGATCGTCAAGAGTTCACTTATGGCTGAAGACCACCTGTACTGTGAGCTATGAGCGGACTCAGGACCCTTACATTGTGAGGATGAAAATTTGGGTACCGGAAAAATAAATAAAATATTATTGCAATCAAAATTTGTCAAAAGATATCAATATATCCTCTGGGTAAACAAGACTGGTACAATCTCTTTATTTAGCTTTAAAGCTCGAAATACAAGCAAATTAGCTTCAGCTATTCAAAAAAGCTAGTTGAGAGATTATGACCTGATTAAAGTAAATTCGGGTTAAATGAGAACATTTGCATGGCGTTCGTCTTAGTAGGATTGTCATCTAGAGGAATGATCCACATTCAAACAATTCTTTTAATATCGTTAATCCAATTATGTAGACATCACGATATATTTATTCAACTTACCGATTAGATAAACTTTACTTTTGAGGTTAGTTGACAACTCGTATATCCAAACGTTTTCGGTATGAAGATTAGTGTTGTTCTTTCGTTTCCGATATATAAGAGACGGTGTCGAGTTTGTTTGCCCCCATACCAAGTAGAACGAAGTACATGTGTAAGCTTGCCTGTCAAGAACTATGGCATGTCAAACGTCGCAATATTCGATTTTTTTTTCCATTTGTATTTTGAATTCATTTGTATTGTAAAATTTTCCATTTGTATTCTATATTTTTTTCATTTGCATTGTAAATATTTATTTATATTCAATAATTCTCCATTTGTATATTTTTATTTCTATTCTATAATTTTAAATTTGTATTGTATAATATTCTATTTGTATTGTATAATTTTCCATTTATATTGTATAATTTCTCATTTGTATTGTATACTTTTCCATTTGTATTGTAAAATTGTACAATACAAATGGAAATTTATAGAATACAAATAAAAATTATACAAAACAAATGAAAAATTAAACAATACAAATGAAAAAATTATAGAATAGAAATGGAAAATTATAGAATGCAAATAAAAGTTTTACAATACAAATGAAAAAAAAATATACAATACAAATGAAAAATTATAGAATACAAATGGAAAATTATAGAATACAAACAAAAAAAAAAAAAAACAGTGATAAATGAATTAAGAAAGATAAAAAACTGGCCGATAAGAAAAGCCGGCATTTAAAAAAAAGATTATTACGCAATGAACATTAAAGTTGAATAGAGGTATTTTTTTAAAGATGCAAGCTATACTGAAAATAAATTTCATCAGATTCCGTAACCGTCGTAGGATGAATTTGGCGCGAAACGTTTCGAGAATTTCAGTGTTTGGGTGCCAACTATTTGAATTCGTATAGCACATCTTGAAGAATTTTGACAAAACATCACGATTTTTTTCATCATGATACAACTGGTCTTTGACTAATCAGAGGAATGGAAAGCGAACTATTAGCTTCACAGTACATAAATTTTTCTGTACTTATCATGCTTATCAGTTTATGAAGTGGAATGTACAAGTACATACAAGTGCATGACTTGTGAAAGAAATAATAATGACAATATTAAAGATTGTTTCATGGTTTAAAAATTAAAATTAAATTAAAAAATAAAGTAATCAAGTAAGTAAAACAAATGAATGAAATTTATTATACTGGAAAACTTACCAATCGGACTAGCTAGTCCACTTTGTGGTTATATGTACACAGGAAAATAAAATAACTAGGAAATTCATTGCTTTAGTGTTACCTGCGCATATATATACGATATTTTGTATATAAAATCACGAAAAAGTAATAAATATACATTCTCAATCACATTTTAATCTAAATTTCATTGAATCTATCACATCCATTTAATAAAACATCCCAAGGAAAAGTAGCGAATGTATTCTCTTAACACCAGGAGCGGAATCATTGTGCCCCCCCCCTTTACTATTATTCCTTTGGAACAGTCATCACGTATTTTCTCTCCCTACCATTTAGCTGTGAACATTGCGGTTGTAGAATGGGTGGCTGGTGGCCCAGGGTCCGCGTTGAACAGTTCTGCATCAAGGTTGTCCTGTCCTGGTGACTTGTTCCTAAGAGTCTTAATGACAGCCAACATCTCTTCTTTGGTGGATGCATATCGATATCTAAGTCTCTAAGATCCCTCGTGGTGCTGGTTGTCATCTATGCCAGTAGAAAACGTTTTCAGGTCGTTGTCATCCTCCCAAAGCAGTGCATCTACTCCCACTCACTCTGAATCTCCTCATCTCTGATGTTACCTGTTGCCAGCTTGCCTGTCTTGTACACCGTTCTTACATCCCAGTGTCCTAGACTTGGTGGTGTTTAGGTCCTCTACTATCCAATATCCTCATGTCTTTGGCCACCAGCATTCATAAAAGTTTCACTTGACTCAGAAGGTCCGTCGCACGCTGAAACATTAATTTTATCTGTTGCTTTTCTTTCCGTAACATCATTTACGGGATAGGGTTGTCATGCAGCCCTATGCCCAACCCAAACTTGGAGGACCAGTGAATCACATTTTGTCTCTACCCATTTCCTGTCTTACAAGGGAACCATTTTCTTACCTATATTTCACAGTTAAGGCGAAATGGGAACACACCGGGAATCCCTACCAAAAGCTTTTGCTCCCGCTAGCATACATTTAGCTCTCTGGGTCATTGAAACACACAAGCCCTTCACCACGATCCTTGATCCTTGAAGTGGTATTAGGAATTGCATGGAATAAAAAAGTTAACCAGAAGTTTCTTGATTTCTGGACATTCTTTGTCCAGAGTTGGAATTGGTCAGCTATTGTATAGTATTGGTCAGTATTGTATATTTGAAATTTTGAACAAAAGTCTTTTGTTGAGACTGGTATTTCTTCAACTTCTGGTAAGTAAAAATATATATTACTAATATTAATATTTACTCTTATATCCTGTATATGCATGTATCTGTTGAATGTCAAATCTGCAATTTTGCATATGTAATATACAATGTATTTCCCCAACACTAATCAATATGTTCATAAATTTTATAATAATAATTATTGTAAAGCTTTTGTGACAGGATATTTATTATTCTTTAATTGCTGAGAAATATATAATTGAATTATATGTACAATGTATAAGGAATTTTCTCCCTTGACAATCACCATCGTATATTATTTCAATGTTTATGGAAGGATTAGTGTCTGGCTTCTGACTAAATGAAACATTCAAAGTATAATGGCTTATATGTCTTATATATTTAGATATAAGGAATTTAAAAGATCATAATTATTTTCTTTTCTACTCATAACTTTACAACTTTAAATAGAAATAGTAAACTGAGTTTGAAATTTGATAGGGACTATATTTTTGGCAGAACGGCGGCGCATGAAAATATCTCCTTTTCTGTTTATCAAAATTACCACAGTACAATGAAAATAGTTTTTTTTAACCATTAATCAAAGACTTAAAGAATTTTCTAGTGTAATAGTATCTAAAATTAATAACAATGTACTAAAGTTTTAAAATACATGTATATCAAATCAATTTGAATCTCCAAACAAACTACAATCTTGTTAGCTTTTAAAAGCTTTTAATCTAGAACAGATGGGAGCAAAAATCTGTAAAAATTATTTTTCTCTCTCAAAACTTTTTGTTTTTTTATCATTTCGTATCTTTATATCACTACTCTACCATATTTGAAAATAAGTAAAATTTCAATATACGAAGCATATAATAATAACTAACATTCCCGAAAAATTAAAGAAAAATAGAGGAATTTCGGATTAGCCAATATATCTACTTTAATTATATCATCATGTATGTCAGTCTGGTAGTATGAACTGATAGACCCTATATGTTAATATCTTTTTATGCAAAAGAAAATATTTTAATGTTTTGAAATAGAAGTAGGCATCACATGACTGGCAACAGTATTTTTTTTTAAATTCTTAATGTCAAGGATAAAGATAATGACCTTGACCTTGCTTCTAAAATAAAAAAGATCAAATTTAATCTAATTAATTGATACCATCACTTCGTGATATTGTCTTCTTGAATCTATGAAAATTTCATTAATTTTCATAAATAAGAAGTATGAGAAGAATCCCTCCTTTACATTTGTCATATTTTTAATATTCCAAGGTTTTGATTGACATCCATGCACATAAAGGTCTTGTCCAGAACTCTCTAATAGGCTCATATTTTATTTCATATCAAAACCTGTTACACTTGCCCCAAGGGATTATGACTTTTTTCATGGTTCCGAACTCAAAGTCAAAGTCACACAACATTGCGATGCTGAATATCAATATGACTTTATTGCCCTTCCTGCTCTGGAAAATTTTCAAAGATTTTTTCCCCTTCTCATGTATTATGTGGAAAATTTAACCCAACAAGAGTCCCATTGTCCATAATTTGTATAGACTAAAATCATGCGCTGGTATAGGAATTTTTTACTAGGACTATAAACTATTTCATTAAAAGTGGGAAGGGTGGGGGGTGGGGGGTGGTAACTCGCTTAAATTTCCTTCATATACGTCATATGACTCTCCTTACCATTTTACCATTAGTCCGAGTTGCCACACAGTGTCATATTTTGGTTACTTTACTATAAGAAATCAATAAACTGAAAATTCCAGTGGGATTTCCCCCTCTGGATACGCGCTTGAAAATCTTTGGACTATTTCCAAATCAATATACTAGTATGTGATTTTGTGTTGCTTAGATACTCTTGATGCCTTATGAAATATGACGATAACGAACAGTAATCAAGCTCAAAAATCCATTAAAAGAATACAAATTTGTATCAGAGCAAACACGGACCTCTAAAAACATCATAGCTAGGTGGGATCAAATGCAGTGGAGGAGTAAGCATCCCGTGCAGACCGGTCACACCCGCCGTGTGCTCATTGTCATGGTCGGGAAAACGGAAAAATCCGTAGACAATTCAATGGGAAAAATAATGGTCTAACATTTTGTATGAAAAACGTCACTCAGCATTTGACTTACCGATAGACTGTATTTCCTGACAAGGGCATCGTATTTCCGAAGATATTCTTGTTTCACCAAATTGTCTAAAGCTTGCCACGATCGTTTTATATTTCGTATGCAATAATGGTATACTGCTACATGAATAGGGGGAGTTGACGATAGAAAAGTTGAAATCATCACGTTTATCCTGTAATTTTGTTTTTAGGTTATCACTAACGGCTTTTTCTAGTAAAATTTCCAAATGTGAAAATGATGTGCCAGACTCAGTGGAATATTTAACATCGATCAAGTATAGCTTTTTCAAAAAGCTTTGCTGTCTTTAGGAATAACCTTAAACAGTAAACTGATCTACATCTTCAGACTGTATAATTCTTGTGCATTTCTTGGCTCTCCATCATTTCATCAGTTTTTAACAGACATTAGCTCTAGAGTATAGGAGTAAGGAGTTGATCCTTACGTCGCCGGTTCGAATCCCACTGTGGGAAGTGGAGACCGGTCCTTCGGATGAGACCGTATAAACCGAGGCTCCGTGTCGCAGTAGGTGCTGGCACGAAAA